TCAAAATTACACGTCTTTCAGGCGTTCGTACATGAACAGTGATTTTAACCGAGGTGGCAACGCACTACGCTTGCATGCGTTTCTGCACTAAACTTGAAGCAATCAGCTTTTTAACAGTGTAAACTCTTTAAAGTTTAACATGTGCAGTCAAGTTAGCTGCGTTTTGATCATCCCCTGCGTGTAAGGAAAAGAGCGTGGGCTTGGACAGTAGTGTTACATCATGGGGTCGCGTAAAATCTTAACCCGAGCAAGCATGATTACCGTAAATTTTGCATGAGGGAGACCGGATAGTTTGGCATGACTGGTCATTCAATGAAATTGCAAATTGGACAATGAACAGGTTGTCAAGAATGAGGGATGACGGAATCATTGGCCTTTGCACTCATTTTTTGAGGCTGAGAGAGAGAGAGAGTTGAGTATTTGCCATGTCCGTGTGCACAAAATTTAGTTTCCAAACTGAATTAAATCATGCGTCGATATGAAATAATCTTTCAAAATTCCAGCTTCGCGCCTTGTCCTTATCTGAAATTGCCACTTCGCCACAAATACCTTTGAGGCGTCGCACAAATGCATTTCGTGAATCCACTTAGGTATACGAGCCGATGAATATGCTGGCAAATTTACGGTTGTCGTCTTTCGTCTCGTTTCAGCCCTCTGTATTTGCCAGTTACGGAAAAATCGCTTTCCACAAGAAAATTTCCACTGTTTTTCCAGATGCCCGTACGTGAGATCTAGGCGCACATCAGTGTTGCTTCAAAGCGGAGAAATGGCACACGGGGTAGGAGTATGCTCCTATAATTTTAGCTTCTCGGCTTTCATGGTTGCAGAGTTAAAAGTGGGTGACAGGATTTTCTCTCCGGACACACACACACAGGCAGCTTCTTAATAGTGCGTAACCTAGTTGCCACCGCACGGACTGCCGTTGCGAATTTGCATTTTTTGCATTTTTCTCTGCAGAATTGCTGTTGTTACAGGAGAAGGAGGTTGTGCTTGACAAATAGATTACAGGTCACGGTTTCAGAAATGTGATCTTTGTTTTATCTTCACAAATGCCATATAAAAGTTAAACAAAAGATTAGAACTCTAGTTGATTTTGTTGCGGAGTTACATCAAATCTCGCCCATTCGCACGTGAGATGTAAGTGGGACATAAAGTTTTGGAAGTTGTTTTTACATCCAC